GAAAGGAGGAGGAAAGGCCTTTAGGGACATACAAGAAAGGAAATTCATGTTGCTTTCAGGGAACTGGACAGCAACAGTAGTAATGATGAGAATAGCAGCAACAGCTAATTTTATAGAAAATTAAATTATTTTAAGCATTACTCTAAATCAGTGGTTCTCAACCTTGGCTGCACGTTAGAATTACCTGGGAATCTTTTTAAAATCCTGGTTTCTGGGCCTCATCCTCCGGAAATTCTGTTTCTTTGTTATGGGTTGGAGCCACAACATTAGTAACAAAGAAACAGAATTTCCGGAGGATGAGGCCCAGAAATCAGGGTTTTAAAAAGATTCCCAGGTGATTCTAATGTGCAGCCAAAGTTGAGAACCACTGCTCTAAATGCTTTACATTTTTCAACCAAGCCTTAAGACATCCTACCAAAAGGGTACTGTTATAAATCCCATTTTACAGAAGAAGAAAGTGAGAAGGGAGCATAAATAACTTGCCCAGGTTCACCTGGCCGGCACATGGCAGAGCAGAGTTTTGGACCTGGCTGCAGAGCCCACACTCTTAACCACTGCGGCCTCTGAACGTACCACCAATAAAGTCTAATCCTCTGTGGTCAGAGCACAGCTCTGAGGGAGTGAGGATGGAAGAGTAGAATCGTTGAGAGGAAGCAAGTCTTGAATCAGTTTGGGATGGTGTTTATAGAATCCTGTGGACATTCAGACTCCCAAGAGGCAGATGGAATACACATCTGTTCAGGACCAAAGGTCTGAGCTGCAGAACTGAAGTCACTTCTAAGCGTGGTCATTGAAATTGCTGACGACCAGCTTCACAACAAGGAGTAAAGGCGGATGCTATTAAAGAGCTGTGGAAAATAGTGAGGAGGAAAGTAATAAAAACAGATGCAATTTACTGAAACCTTAACCCGTGCCAAGCACTGTCGTAGCACTTGACATGTAATGAATAAATAACCTGAAGCTTTGTCACTTGAGAGTCTACAAAGTCTTATAGTACAGCCCTTGGTAAGAATTATAACATTCAATTAATTGTCGTAGCTGTACAGAGTTTCTAACTTTCATTTAGGAAAGGTTATTGATTTCCTTTTATTTAGAATTCTTATGGTAGAGGATTTTCAAGGAGAAACAACTAATTATCGAGAAGTTTTTAATATCAATAATAAAAATATAATCTAATACTGGAGAAGAATGTTTCCAAGTAGGAAGTGCATGTCGATGTAGCTTGGGCTCTTGGATACAGCACCATTTGTGACCTTGATCAATCACATAACTGCCTTGTCCTCTTATATGCACTAGAACATGTCCACTTTCTCTCTAGCTTGCAGAGCATTACATTAATTAGATTTACATGCTTGAATCAGAAACTGTCCTTTGTAAAAGGCTCTTGGTAGATAGTAATTCTTAGCTGAGGGATGAGAGACTTCTCCTGGGGCAGATATGTCAGCGTTCTGAGGGTGGACTGGGCAGAGTCTTCTCTGTTGTACCCGTGGCTCTCACCTCCTAGGCCTGGAGAAGCCTTTTCTTCCCTTGGCCATTTGTCACTTTGTGCCAGAGTTGACTTATCCTGGGAGAGTAGGGGGAATTCAGTCTATACAATGAAGGGTATAGACTCTTGGAACTTCTCTGGGACAAAGGACCATAGAAGAAACGGAGAAAATTGGAAATATAACAATGCAGGAGAAAATGCTGGATTTTTTTTTTTTATTGTTGTTCCGTGAAGTTTGTACTTAAAACCAAATCAAACCTGACATGATTTCCCATAAAAGCCCACATGTCATGTCTGGGTCTTTGATTTAATTCAGTCTTTTTATCTACAGACTGGACTTTTTTTATTTCTATATTCATTTTGAAACATTTGAGTAGCCAGATTATTGTCCCAGGAGGCAGTTAATGTTTATTGAGAATCCAGAATTTATGAGCCTCGACAAAGTCAAATGAAATAGAGGCCTCCCTTGGGTAGATCAGCAAGTGGGAATGTGTACTCTTGACTAATTATTAACTGTGGTGTTTATCCTGCAGTTTCAGAGCTGTCTTACTAGTGAAATCATTCTATTTGCTAACTTTCTTTTCCTGTATTTTTCCAGAAAGAAAAAAACTGAAGGCACCTATGATTTACCTTACTGGGACCGGGCAGGTAACTCATGACTTTACATCTTTTTCCGTCAGCGGGAAGTCCCTCCCCTCCAGATGGCAGCAGGGAAAGGAGTGTTTTCAGGCCCACTGAAATTTCCCAGCACTGTTAGGAAGCTGGCATCACTTCTCTCTTCTGATCATTTTTACTTCCTGTCAGATCTCTTCTAGTCAATAAGTAATGAAATGGAAAGGAATTATTTTTCTCCTGGAAAACTTTCATCTGGAGGAGACCAGCTTTCTTTGAGGCCTATGTGAACACTGTTAGAGGCAGAGGGTTTTGGTCCTAGTAAAAGTATGTGTTTGTCACTCTGCTCTGGGTATTTAAGTGGGGTCCAGCAGTTTAGGAATCCTGAAGTCTGCCATGTCTGCTGTGATAAGTTGTCATCTTCTGAATTTCAACTCTGTATGGAAGGTGGCATATTGCTGCAAGTTACACCAGCAGTCCCCTATGGGTCCCCCACTTCCCTGTCTCACTACCAGACAGCTGTTAGGAGCCAAAAAGGTTCACCACTGTGACCAGGGTAGACAAGAGCAGTGGTGGGAGCTAATCAGGTACTGCTAGGGTAGATCTTGGAAAGTATTTTAAAAAAAAAACAACATTTTAAACCACCCCTACCAAACTGTATTTGACCAGTGATCTGCTTCTGTATATGCTTTTGATAGAGATTCCTACCATATTCTGCTTTACACTATATATCCTATCAAAGCAAAAAATAATCTTAAAAAACTTAAAGAATTAGAAAAAGGACAAACTAAACCCAAAGCTACCATAAGAAAGGAAATAATAAAGATTAGAGCAGAGATAAAGAAAATAGAGAATAGAAAGACAATAGAGAAAAATCAATGAAATAAAAAGTTGATTCTTTAAGAATATCAACAAAAGTTACAAACCTTTAGCTAGATGGGCTTAGAAAAAAGGAGAGAAGATTGAAATTACTAAAATCAGAAATGAAACTGGGGACATTATCAATTCTATGAAAATACAAAGGATTATTAATACTATGAACAGTTGTACACCAAAAAATTGAATAACCTAGATGAAATGGATAAATTCTTAGAGACATAAAACTTACTAAAACTAAATCATGAAGAAGTAGAAAATCTGAGTAGACCTTTAACTAGTAAAGGGATTGAGTTAGTAATAAAAAATTTCCCAAAAGACAAAAGTCCTGGACCTGATGGCTTCATTGGTAAGTTCTACCAAACATTTGAAGAAGAGCTAAACCTTAAAGATTCCACACACAGAAAAAGCTGTTTGAACTAATAAATGCATTCAGCAAAGTGATAGGATACGAAGTCAACACAAAAATCAGTTGCATTTCTATACACGAATAATTAATAATCTGAAAAGGAAATTATAAAAACAATTCCATTTTTAATAGCATCAAAAAGAGTAAAATACTTAGGAATTAACCAAGAAAGTAAAAGACTTATACAATGAAAACATTGCTAAAAGAAATTTTAAAAGACAGAAAAGGAAACATCCTATGTTCAGGGGTTAGAAGACTTAATATTGTTAATATTTAGTACTACCCAAAGCAATTTACAGATTCATTAGGAATCTCCATCAAAATCTCAGTGATATTTTTTGCAGAAATGGAAAAATCCATCCTAAAATTCAGGGACACCTAATAGACAAAATAGTCTTGGAAAAGAACAAAACTGGAAGACTCACACTTTCTGATTCCAAAACTTAATTACAAGGCAATCAAAATAGTGTGGTATAGGCATAAAGAGAGACATAATAGACCAATGGAATAGAATAGAAAACCCAGAAATAAGGCCTTACAAATATGGACAAATGATTTTTGACAAGGGTGTACAAGCCATTCATTGGAGAAAGGAGAGAGTCTTTTTAACAAATGGTGCTGGGAAAACTGGATATCCACATGCAAAAGAATGAAGTTGCACCCTAACCTAACACCATTTACTAAAGTCAACTCAAAATGGATCAAGGACCAAAACATAAGACCTAAAAACAATAACATTCTTATTACAAGAAAACCTAAGACAAAAGCTTCATGACATTGGATTTGGCAGTGATTTCTTTGATGTGACACACAATGCCCAGATAAAAGAAAAACTAGACAAATTGAACTTCATGAAAAATTTTAAATTTTGTGCATCAAAAGGCACTGTCCACAGAGTAAAAAGGCAACCCATAGTATGGTAGAAAACATTTGCAAATCATATATCTGATGAGGAATTAATATTTAGAATATGTAGGATATTTGTAAAACTCCACGACATACAAACAACTTGATTCAAAAATGGGCAAAGAACTTGAATGTGCCTTTTTCCCAAAGAATATCTACAGTTGGCCAATAAGGACGTGAAAAGATGCTCAACATCACTAATCTTTAGGGAAATGAAAATCAAAACTACGGTGAGATATCACCTCACACCCATTAAAAAGGTGCCTATCAAAAAAACAAGTGTTGGTGAAGAGGTGGAGAAATTGGAACCCTGTGCACTGTTGGCTAAAATGTTACAGCTGCTGTGGAAAACAATATGGTAGTTCCTCAAAATATTAACAATGGAATTACCATATGATTCAGCAGTTCCACTTATGGGTAAATACCCAAAATAATTAAAAGCAGGGTCTTGAAGAAATATTTCTACACCCATATTCATTAGCAGTGTTATTCACAACAGTTAAAATGTAAAAACATCGACTGATGAATGGATCTGTAACATATTTACATGCAGTGGAATATTATTCATCCTTAAAAAGGAAATTCTGTATTATATTACAACATGGATGAACCTTAAAGACCTTATGCTAAGAGAAATAAGCCAGTCACACACACAAAAAAACAAATACTGTATGATTCCACTCATGTGTGGTACTTATAATAGTTAAAATCCTCAACAGAGGAAGTAGAATGTTGGTTGCCAGTATCCAAGAGTGGGGAGACTTAGGGAGTTACTGTTTAATAGGTGTGGAGTTCCAGTTGTACAAGATACAGAGATGGATGGTGGTAATGTTTGCACAACAGTGTGAATGTATTTAATAACACTGGGCTATATACTTAAGAGTGGTGAAGGTGACAAATTTTATGTTTTTTATATTTTACCACAATAAAAAAAAAAGATGCTTGAACATAAAGGCTAGTTTGTATAGATACTTATTTGTTACTAGAGGCCCGGTGCACAAAAATTTGTGCATTCGAGGGGAAAGGGGGTCCCTCAGCCCAGCCTGTGCCCTCTCGCAGTCTGGGACCCCTCGGGAGATAACGCCCTGCTGGCTTAGGCCTGCTCCTGGGTGGCAGAGGGCAGGTCCAATCCCTAGGTGCAGCCCCTGGTTGGGCTCAGAGCAGGGCCAATTGGGGAGTTGGGACACGGCCCCCTGTCATGCACAGAGCAGGGCGGATCAGGAGGTTGCGATGCCACCCTCAGACACGCGCAGGGTAGGGCCC